TACACGCCCCCGGCGCCCCTATTCTCCCTGAAACAGAGCATCCGAAAGCACCTCTTAGTATCTATATGCGAGGAGTGAGGAACAAACGTCAAACTTCTTAAATTACTTGAAATTGACACACACACGCAGTAAGATGCAGTATACACATGCCCGCAAGTTCTTTCTGTATCTCACCTGCTCTTCCTACTGCAGACGGAAACGTGAATATTACTGTGTTGTGAGTGAGGATAGTGTCCACACGTGAGATGATCTTACATTTATGATACTCTGTTCCCCACCAATCATCCTCTTTTAAAGCAGCAAACTTAGCCTTACGAGGCGAGCCTTCCAGCTCCCCGACCTTTGTCTCTCGGGCAGAGAGGTGGCGTGGAGACTGCAGTGCCATGGGGAGCGCGGCTCTCGGGCGTCGGCACAGACGTGACCAGGCACACGCTCTCCAGGCAGCACAGCTAGTCTCTCCTTCCTCAGCCTGCTCACCACAGGGAAAGCCTGTGCTGACAAATCACACAAGCCATGAGGTTGGCACCATTCAATGTACATGAAATGGTTTACGACAGTAAAGTTCCCCACTTTGGTGACCAGAGATGGTCCTGAGACAAATCGAACACAATCACACGGCTGTTTCATGGATGCGCAACGACCCCAGGCCCTTCCTGCAACAGAAACTCAGGCAGAGGATGTGTCCGACCTTCTCCCCCCACTTCACCGCCCCAGCCCCTGGTCAGGCTTGGGATCAGCCCATGCCGCTGCTAGGGTGAGCAATAAAAATAAGGCCGCTGACACAAGTATTTTTCAATGTGCCCTGTACTTTAATTGAATATCGAATTGAAATTCTTTGTAGCACAAACCACACACTTGAAATACCTATGGAATGGAATCAGTCTTTAAGGGTGTGCCCCAGGCCACGGAAGGCTGTCTCAGATCAGAGACGGGAGCTGAGAAGCAGTCGACTTGGTTATGTTCACCCTCACTCACACCTGCACGTGGGCCGTGGGGACCTGTCTTTGACATGCGGCTCTGGGTAATGCAGAGATAGTTTTGGAAAGTTTCGTGGGGAACAGATTGAAATTTAAATGGAAATTACAAAATTTCAGACCAGCCATGTTACAACCAGTAAAAAGCCTCTGTCAAGCTCAGGATAAGCAGCTGACAACGTTCCACCAACCACAGAACAATCTTATCGACAGAGTCGGCCCATAATTGCATGTCACTAATGAAGACGGGATTACCTAGGTGGCCTCCTTGTAAAATCAAATATCGTTCTGATGTAAGGGCCCAGCACACAGTGTCTGTGACTGCATGCTTATATTTATTTACCTGTTTGTTCGTTCATTCATTCATGCATGCATGCATTCATTCACTCATTCATTCATTCACTTACTCATTCGTTTATTCATTCATCACGCACCACCTAATTATCCTAGTGAGTAGCTACAGTGTGCCAGGCAGTGTCTAATCAATAGGAACTATCAAGATAAATAATATGCAGTCTATATCTTTAAGAAGCTCAGAATTAAGTAAAAAGATAGAAAAGGAGACCATTACAGACAGCAGAGCTCTGTGCAGGTCAGGAACAGGAAGAACATGAATTAACCTAGTGACACCTGGCCAGGGCGTAGAAGGCGCCTCCTCCCAGTTCGTTCTCTTTCTGAGTCATTCCTGTGCCTCTGGGAGGGTCGCCTGCGTGTGGACAAGGCCCTGCTGTGTCCTCGGGACGTGCGCAGGCTCGAGGGGTGCTCAGTGCGTATTTCTAAAAACGAACAAAGGATTAAATGGAGCAGATTTTGTTGTCCACGTGGTCATTAGGTGGATTAAACAGCATTAAGACGGACAGCATGTCCGCGGATGGGCACGCCCCAGTCCAGGCCTTGCAAGGCCCGAGGGTCTTGGACACTGTGCCCTTTATCCACACCTTTGTGCATAAATCCCTCATCTACTTGCCCTCTGTCCTAAGTTCATTTTATGAATTTATAATTGCAAAACCAGTAATTATGAGTAAAGAGTATCTCACAAAGAAGAAAATGAAGTCGCATATACTGCTGCAGCCCACAAACACCCACGAGTGAATGTGGGTGCATTTGTTCTCAGCTGTCCCCCCGCTGCTGCAACCCCTTCCCGGGGAGAGTAGGGGCTGGGCCCGTGCTGGTCTCTGCTTCTGCGCACGTCATCGCTGCCAAACTGCGTCTGTGGTCACCGTTATTTTCTCACGACCGCGTGTGCACTGATTACTAAGAAGAGGCAACAGTCTGCTCTCTTTAATGGGATGTTTTCTAATTTAGTTTCTTAATCGTACATTTTTGTCCTGTAAGCTTTTTATTTAACTTTGAAAACTAAGAGCCTGACCGAGCCTGACCTCTGGCAGCGAATCACCATGATCTTGTCTTCCTATGTTGGCCCCTGAGAAGTGAGGCTAACGTTGCTTTGGGCCGTATCCGTGATGATGCATCTAGGTCAGGGGTCCTCAAACTTTTTAAACAGGGGGCCAGTTCACTGTCCCTCAGACCGTTGGAGGGCCGGACTATAGTTTTAAAAAAAAAAACTATGAACAAATTCCTATGCACACAGCAGCGGCAAAAACACCCGGCGGGCCGGATAAATGTTTTCGGTGGGCCGCATGTGGCCCGCGGGCCGTAGTTTGAGGACCCCTGATCTAGGTTTTCCTCAGACTTAAAAGCCAGGAGGTCACTGACCCTGGCCCACCTCTCCTCCCCTTTTCTGGCTCTTACCTGCCTGCTTTCGCCACGCCCAGCTCACGTCCCAGGCGGAGAAAAGAGGTCCTAGGACCGTGGGAGGGCAGAGCAGGGAGCCCGAGAGAGGCCCCAGGCCTCTCCTCTCGGCCCAGCATCACCTGCTCTGATTGCCCTGTCACCTGGGGACTCTAACCCTAGTTTTCCTGGAGATCGAGGATGGGCTTTGCTGTGCTCCTGACCCTGCGAGCGATGACTGACGCCGCGTTTGCTTTGTTTTGCTGCGCAGAACGGGCTGTCCCCACTGCACATGGCCGCGCAGGGCGACCACGTGGACTGCGTCAAGCACCTGCTACAGCACAAGGCGCCCGTGGACGACGTCACACTGGACTACCTGACGGCCCTGCACGTGGCCGCGCACTGCGGCCACTACCGCGTCACCAAGCTGCTTCTGGACAAGCGGGCCAACGCCAACGCCCGAGCCCTGGTAACC